GTTCACTAGAGAGCGATGACATCACCGAGAACACAGCCTATCCGTTCACTAGAGAGCGATGACATCACCGAGAATGTTTCACTAGAGAGCGATGACATCACTGAGAACGCAGCCTATCCATTCACTAGAGAGCGATGACATCACCGAGAACACAGCCTATCCGTTCACTAGAGAGCGTGACATCACAGAGAATGCAGCCTATCCATTCACTAGAGAGCGATGACATCACCGAGAACGCAGCCTATCCGTTCACTAGAGAGCGATGACATCACTGAGACACAGCCTATCCGTTCACTAGAGAATGATGACATCACGAGAACGCAGCCTATCCGTTCACTAGAGAGCGGTGACATCACCGAGAACGCAGCCTATCCGTTCACTAGAGAGCGATGACATCACCGAGAACGCAGCCTATCCGTTCACTAGAGAGCGATGACATCACCGAGAACGCAGCCTATCCGTTCACTAGAGAGCGACGACATCACCGAGAACGCAGCCTATCCGTTCACTAGAGAGCGGTGACATCACCGAGAACGCAGCCTATCCGTTCACTAGAGAGCGGTGACATCACCGAGAACGCAGCCTATCCGTTCACTAGAGAGCGGTGACATCACCGAGAACGCAGCCTATCCGTTCACTAGAGAGCGGTGACATCACCTGAGAACGCAGCCTATCCGTTCACTAGAGAGCGATGACATCACTGAGAACGCAGCCTATCCGTTCACTAGAGAGCGGTGACATCACCGAGAACGCAGCCTATCCGTTCACTAGAGAGCGGTGACATCACTGAGAACGCAGCCTATTCACTAGAGGTGATGACATCACTGAGAACGCAGCCTATCCAATCACTAGAGAGCGATGACATCACTGAGAATGCAGCCTATCCAATCACTAGAGAGCGATGACATCACTGAGAACGCAGCCTATCCAATCACTAGAGAGCGATGACATCACCGAGAACACAGCCTATCCATTCATTAGAGTGCGGTGATATCACGGAGACTGCGGCACTCAGGATGGATCATTCTGGACGCACACAGGAGGTATTCTCCGTCATCCCCGATCACACTTTTTAATAACAATTTCCCATTAAAGTTTCTGACACTTTGAACCTTTTTTGTAAACAAGATGGAGATAATGATCTCGGTTTCCTGCTGCTGCAAACACTCTAAATTCTGTCAAAATATCTGCCGAGACCACTTCTGTTTTCTCAGGAATGTTCCGTCTGCGTGCGTCTCTGCACACCGCATCGGCTCAGAGCACACCGACACCCGCAGTGACATTATTGATGGTCGCAGAGGTCGCGGCATTCCACCAATGTCCCAACACTCCATTCCTCCTCTATATATGACACGGGGCCCCTATGGGGGGGCCTGACCACCATGGAGGAGATCAGAGACCACCGGGGGCAGCAGGCTCTAGCACAGCTCCATTAACAAGTGAGGATTGAAGGGTTCAGAGGTCATAACCTGGAAAAGCTCTGGGTGACGCACCAAGCCCTCTGCGCTCCGGTGACTTGGGGAGGGTGTCGTCCCGGCTCCATACACACAGAGGAGGAAGGAACAAAATGGCGCACTCCTAAAAGAAGCCTGACTCCACCTAGGCCACACCCCCTCCCCAACACGTTTCGACCTGCTCACAGGGCTTAGTCACAGAGGTCAGTAGTAACGCTGAGTGCGGAGCCCTCATGTTGTCCCCCGGTGCCGCCTTCTCTGTCTCAGAGCCCTCATGTTGTCCCCGTGGTGCCGGCTTCTCTGTCTCAGAGCCCTCATGTTGTCCCCGGTGCCCCCTTTCTCTCAGTCTCAGTTGTCCCCGGTGCCCCTCATGTTGTCATGTTGTCCCCGGTGCCGCCTTCTCTGTCTCAGAGCCCTCATGTTGTCCCCGGTGCCGCCTTCTCTGTCTCAGAGCCCTCATGTTGTCCCCGGTGCCGCCGCCTTCTCTGTCTCAGAGCCCTCATGTTGTCCCCGGTGCCGCCTTCTCTGTCTCAGAGCCCTCATGTTGTCCCCGGTGCCGCCTTCTCTGTCTCAGAGCCCTCATGTTGTCCCCGGTGCCGCCTTCTTTGTCTCAGAGCCCTCATGTTGTCCCCGGTGCCGCCTTCTCTGTCTCAGAGCCCTCATGTTGTCCCCGGTGCCGCCTTCTCTGTCTCAGAGCCCTCATGTTGTCCCCGGTGCTGAGCTCTCTGTCTCAGAGCCCTGATGTTGTCCCCGGTGCTGAGTTCTCTTTCTCAGAGCCCTCATGTTGTCCCCGGTGCCGCCTTCTCTGTCTCAGAGCCCTCATGTTGTCCCCGGTGCTGAGCGCTCTGTCTCAGAGCCCTCATGTTGTCCCCGGTGCTGAGTTCTCTGTCTCAGAGCCCTCATGTTGTCCCCGGTGCTGAGTTCTCTGTCTCAGAGCCCTCATGTTGTCCCCGATGCCACATTCTCTGTCTCAGAGCCCTCATGTTGTCCCCGGTGCCACGTTCTCTGTCTCAGAGCCCTCATGTTGTCCCCGGTGCCACGTTCTCTGTCTCAGAGCCCTCATGTTGTCCCCAGTGTGATGTTCTCTGTCTCAGAGCCCTCATGTTGTCCCCCGGTGCTGAGTTCTCTGTCTCAGAGCCCTTCTCTCCGTTATCACAATTCCTCGGCATTATTATAACCCAGACTGATTGGCGGCTGTAATGCCATATAACTATGACCTATAGGGAAGAGGCAAGCTTCCTCAGCGTTCGGTCTCCTACAGGCAGGACATCTTCCTGACAGGACATATTGTACCCCCAGTGAAACACTACCGCAGGGACAGGCAAGCCGTTGCGGGAGTACAGGTCCCATAAGGCACTGCAAGCCTGACAGCCGCAGGCAGAGGGATGATGGGATTTGTAGTTTCATCACACCTGGAGGTTGCCTATCTGTACTGCCCTGCTGTAGCAGCACTCGCCCCGGGAACCGGCTGTTCTCTGTGGCACTCGCCCCGGGAACCGGCTGTTCTCTGTGGCACTCGCCCCGGGAACCGGCTGTTCTCTGTGGCACTCGCCCCGGGAACCGGCTGTTCTCTGTGGCACTCGCCCCGGGAACCGGCTGTTCTCTGTGGCACTCGCCCCGGGAACCGGCTGTTCTCTGTGGCACTCGCCCCGGGAACCGGCTGTTCTCTGTGGCACTCGCCCCGGGAACCGGCTGTTCTCTGTGGCACTCGCCCCGGGAACCGGCTGTTCTCTGTGGTACTCACCCCGGGAACCAGCTGTTCTCTGTAGACGCTCGCCCCACCAGGCTCAGGTTCAGGGCTTTGTAGACCGTCAGCGTTTCATGAACGTAGCCATGAGGGTTGACATAGGCCGCCATGGGGCCACACAGGGACAGGCTGCAATAGAGGAAAGCAGGAATAGAAAATGCAAAGTACATCGGACACACAATATATGGGAACCTATCAGCTCAGAACACTTCGACAGGCTGAACTAACGCAATCAGCACAGCAGCTGGACAAACACTGCTTGCACAGCATGTTGTAGGCGAGTCTTGGAAGTCTGGCATTTTCAGGAAGCACCTGGCTGAGCTCCTCCACCCCCACGACATAACCTTTTATGTTGGTGCTGGGGGAAAGGAGCAGACGGGAACACTGTAGAGCCCCGATGCCTTACCTGTGACCCTATACCATACATAGTGTGGCCCACGGGGCCCCTGAAGACAGAGGTATAGGTTTTCCTTACTTTGGAGATACATTGAAGGCATGTATAACCTCATGGGAAGGTTGTTGTTGGAATGAAGGGTCTGGTGACAGGGCCTCTACAGGCAGCTCTGAGCAAAGACCGGGACATAGCAGCCAAGTTGAGGGTGATGGGGTGGGGTGGAGAGGCTGACATTGTGACGTTGGTGAGATGGAAGTCAGGAGAAACCCAGAAGGATGAGGACCAGAAGGATGGGGACCAGGAGGATGGACAACAGACGATGTTCCTGGGAGGGAGACGTTGGGGGTGATGGGGTGGGGAGGAGAGGCTGACAGTGATGTTGGGGAGATGGAAGCCAGGAGAGACCCAGAAGGATGGGGACCAGGAAGATGGTCAAGAGACAATGTTCCTGGGAGGGAGACGTTGGGGGTGATGGGGTGGGGAGGAGAGGCTGACAGTGATGTTGGGGAGATGGAAGCCAGGAGAGACCCAGAAGGATGGGGACCAGGAAGATGGACAAGAGACAATGTTCCAGGGAGGGAGATGTTGGGGGTGATGGGGGGGGGTGGAGAGGATGATATGGTGAGGTTGGGGAGATGGAAGCCAGGAGAGACCTAGAAGAATGGGGACCAGGAGGATGGACAAGAGACAATGTTCCTGGGAGGGAGATGTTGGGGGTGATGAGCGGGGTGGAGAGGCTGACAAGGTGAAGTTGAGGAGATGGAAGCTAGGAGGGACCCAGAAGGATAGGGACCAGGAAGATGGGGACCAGGAGGATGGACAAGAGATGATGTTCCTGGGAGAAAGATGTTGGGGGTGATGAGCGGGGTAGAGAGGCTGACATGGTGAGGTTGAGGAGATAGAAGCCAGGAGGGACCCAGAAGGATGGGGACCAGGAGGATGGACAAGAGACAATGTTCCTGGGAGGAAGACGTTGGGGGTGATGGGCGGGGTGGAGAGGCTGACATGGTGACATTGGGGAGATGGAAGCCAGGAGATCCAGAAGGATGGGGACCAGGAGGATGGACAAGAGAAGATGTTCCTGCGAGGGAGATGTTGGGGGATCATTGAAGGAAATAAATGTCATGATGGCTCATATATTGTTCTATTGTCTAGCTTCAGCCTGAAGTGTGATATTAACCCCTTCCCACCACTGCCGCCTCCTGGCCCTTTAAGAGGATTGACTGCCAGGCAGCGGAGGCAGGCATTCCAATCATGTGACCGCTGTGATTGGCTCTGAGCACAGTATATGCAGCTGCCCGGCGTCAAAGCCGACCTGCCAGGAGGCTGCATTTATGCGTGTGGCCGGAATGAAGTGGTTAAATCCTCCCTCTGGCTTCCCCTCCAGTCTTGCACAGGTGTATCGGCTCCTCCCCTTCAGTCTTGCGCAGGTGTCCCGGCTCCTCCCCTTCAGTCTTGCACAGGTGTATCGGCTCCTCCCCTTCAGTCTTGCACAGGTGTATCGGCTCCTCCCCTTCAGTCTTGCACAGGTGTATCGGCTCCTCCCCTTCAGTCTTGCACAGGTGTCCCGGCTCTTCCCCTCCAGTCTTGCACAGCTGTATCGACTCCTCCCCTTCAGTCTTCCACACGTGTACCGGCTCCTCCCCTTCAGTCTTGCACAGGTGTACCGGCTCCTCCCTTCCAGTCTTGCAGAGGAGTAGCGGCTCCTCCCCTTCAGTCTTCCACATGTGTACCGGCTCCTCCCCTTCAGTCTCACACAGGTGTACCGGCTCCTCCCCTTCAGTCTCACACAGGTGTACCGGCTCCTCCCCTTCAGTCTCACACAGGTGTACCGGCTCCTCCCCTTCAGTCCTGCACAGGTGTACCGGCTCCTCCCCTGGAATGGCTTACTCTTGATTTCACTAGGATCTGCCTGCTTACAGCAATTTGTGATCTGCTCTCCAGTGACTACATGAGTGCAGTGCAGTAAGGAAACTATTTTTTCAGGCTTATGGTACTTTGAATGAAATAGTCCATTAAAGTGGCGCTTTCACTGCACACTGGGAGCTTCTCACAATGTGCATTAGAAACTGCAGCAAGTCAGATAGAGCTCCCACCCATTTCCTGGCTGGGGGACATCCAGCATCATCTAGCACTTTCCTCTCCAGGCCTGACTGTCCCTTTTAATTGGATTTCAGTTCTTTCATAATGGAGGCTCGGCATCACATGTGGGCGTTACCTATGCAAATGAAACCTGCCTAAGAATGCCCACTCACCCAGACTGACACCCAGCCATCGGGGCATTCTGTTATTAGCATAACTCCTCCCACTGCGTACATCAGGGGCTCATGAGAGGAGTAGTGAGGCCGGGGCTGCGAGTTTTATTGCGGTTTATAGTCACATCCTCTGTGGATTGTATCAGTGATAAGTTGCTCTGATATCGCCTTATCCAGGAAATCTGCACCCTATACAGGAGGACGTCTGACCTGTCTGCGCGCGTCCCGCCATTGGCCGCCTCACCTGAAAATCTCGTTCTTGGTGGTGATCTCAGTGTCGTGACATCGCTTACAGCAGAGGGATGTGCACTACAATGAGAGAGAGAATCATAAGCAGCGCCCCCTATGGGGATGGGAGGGAGGTGGGCGGGGCGTAGAGGGTACAATGGAACTCACTTTGCTCATGATGTCCAGCTCACAACGCAGGCGCTGGATGGCGTTTCCGATCTGCAGCAGCTGGATACGCAGAGTGTCATCGATGGGCAGACAGGCCGCCACCCGGTAAGAGAAATCTGAGAAGAGAAGAACTCAGTCAGTCTAATGTGGTGCAGCGCAAACAGGAGGTCTTCACCACCCGCGTCTCTGCAATTATTTCCTCCTACATAGAAGGGTGTGAAAAACCTTCAGGTGCAAATATGGGCAGCACAGTGGGCTGAGCGGTTAGCACTTCCGCCTGGCAGTACTCGGGTCGTTGCTTCAAATCCCAACAACGGCACCACCTGCCTGGAGTTTGCATGTTCTCCCTGTGCCTGCGTGGGTTTTCCTCTGGGTACCCCCCGTTTCCTCCCAAACTACAAAGATATGCTTGGAGGTGAATTGGTTCCTGTATGAATGTGAGTTAGGGACCTCAGATTGTACGCTCCTCGGGGGCGGGGCCTGATGTACAACATATATGTAAAGCGCTGCGTACATTGATGGCGATATATAAGTACCTGAAATAAATAATAAAAATGTTTCATCTCTCTGGTGTCATAGAGAGCTTTTTATTTTTAATTAACAGCTTACCGCCGCCCTATAGCAGAGCTACTGCGACACGGGCGGCAGGGCTGCACAAAATCACGTATATTTCCAGGTTAGGGGGAACGCACGCTGACCTACCCGCGCCGCCACTGGCGGCTACAGCTATCACTGGGTCCCGGACAGATTCCCCGCTGGCACCCAGCGATCATTGAGGAAACACTGACAGTCACTATGGTGACCACTGTACTGCTAGGGTGACAGTATGTTAAAAAAAACAAAAAAAAAAAAAACCATAAATAATAATATACAAAAAATAAAATAAAAATGTAAAAAAAGTTCTGAAAAATTTAAAATTTTTGGTTATAAACTAATTTCGGTTATTTTTTTTTTTTTACTAAAAAGATAACTGAATAAATTTTGGCCAAGATTTGTGAAGAAAGATTATTTTATTTGCAAAATTTTATAAAAAACACGTTTTTTAAAAAATGTTTGGAGCTTTTAATTTATATAGCAAAAAAAAAAAAAAAAATCCCAGCGGTGAATAAATACCATCAAAATAAAGTTTTATCTGTTTAAAAAAAATACTAAAAAATTCATATGGGTGCAGTGCCGCATGACCGCGCAATTGTCAAAGTGTGACAGCGCTGAGAGCTGAAATTGTCTCTGGTCAGGAAGGGGGGGGGAAAGTGTCCGGACTGGAAGGGGGGGGGGGGGGGAGAGGGACAGTGTCCGGACTGGAAGGGGGGGAAAGCGTCCGGACTGGAAGGTCCGGACCTGGGAAAGGGGGGGGAATGCGTCCGGACTGGAAGGGGGGGAAAGTGTCCGGACTGGAAGGGGGGGGAAGTGTCCGGACTGGAAGGGGGGGGGAAGTGTCTGGACTGGAAGGGGGGGGGGGGGAAGGGGGGTGGTAGTGTCCGGACTGGAAGGGGGGGGGGAAGTGTCCGGACTGGAAGGGGGGGAAGTGAAGTGGTGGCCCGGACTGGAAGGGGGGGAAGTGTCCGGACTGGAAGGGGGGGGAAAGTGGTCCGGACTGGAAGGGGGGGGAAGTGTCCGGACTGGAGGAGGGGGGGGGGGGAAGTGTCAGGACTGGAAGGGGGGGGGGGGGGGGGAAGTGTCCGGACTGGAAGGGGTGAAAGTGTCCGGACTGGAAGGGGTGAAAGTGTCCGGACTGGAAAAGGGGGTGGGGGGGGGGGGGGGAAGTGTCCGGACTGGAAGGGGGGGGGGGAAGTGTCCGGACTGGAAGGGGGGGGGGGGGGGGGGAGTGTGGGGGGGTGGGGACGTGTCGATGGAAGGTAGGGGGGGAAGTGTCCGGACTGGAAGGGGGGGAAAGCTGTCCGGACTGGAAGGGGGGGAAAGTGGTCCGGACTGGAAGGGGGGGAAAGTGTCCGGGACTGGAAGGGGGGGGAAAGCGGTCCGGACTGGAAGGGGGGGGAAAAGTGTCCGGACTGGAAGGGGGGGAAAGTGTCCTGGACTGGAAGGGGGGGGGGGGGGAGTGTCCAGGACTGGAAGGGGGGGAAGTGTCCGGGACTGGAAGGGGGTGGAAAGTGTGGACGGACACTGGAAGAGGGGGGGGGGGGGGAAGTGTCCGGACTGGAAGTAGGGGGGGAGGAAGTGTCCGGATAACTGGAAGGGGGGGGGGGGGGAAGGGGGGGGTGGGGGGAGTGTCGGACTGGAAGGGGGGGGAGGAAGTGTCCGGACTGGAAGGGGGGGGGGGGGGGAAAGTGTCCGGACTGGAAGGGTGGGGGAAAGTGTCCGGACTGGAAGGGGGTGGAAGTGTCCGGACTGAAGGAAGGGGGGGAAGTGGTCCGGACTGGAATGGGGGGGGAGTGTCCGGACTGGAAGGGGGGGGAAGTGTCCGGACTGGAGGGGGGGTAAGGGAGTTGTCCGGACTGGAAGGGGGGGAAGTGTCCTGGACTGGAAGGGGGGGGGAAGTGTCCGGACTGGAAGGGGGGGGGAAGTGTTGTCGGACTGGAAGGGGGGGGGGAGTGTCCGGACTGGAAGGGGGGGAAAAGTGAATCGACTGACTGGAAGGGGGGGGGGGGGAGGAAGTGTCCGGACTGGAAGGGGGGGGGGGAAGTGTCCGGACTGGAAGGGGGGGAAAAGTGTCCCGGACTGGAAGGGGGGGGGAAGTGTCCGGACTGGAAGGGGGGGAAAGTGTCCGGACTGGGAAGGGGGTGAAGGAAAGTGTTACTGACAGGAAGGGGGGGGGGGAAAAAAGTGTCCGGGGACTGGAAGGGCTGGGGGGGGTGGAAGTGTCCGGACTGGAATAGGGGGGGGAAAAGTGTCCGGACTGGAAGGGGGGGGAAGTGTCCGGACTGGAAGGGGGGGGTGGGGGGGGGAAGTGTCCGGACTGGAAAGGGGGGGGGAAGTGTCCGGACTGGAAGCGGGGGGGAGTGTCCGGACTGGGAAGGGGGGGGAAAGTGTGTCCGGATGGAAGGGGGGGAAAGTGTCCGGGACTGGAAGGGGGGGGAAAGTGTCTGGACTGGAAGGGGGGGGGAAAGTGTCCGGACTGGAAGGGGGGGGGAAAGTGTCCGGACTGGAAGGGGGGGAAAGTTGTCCGGACTGGAAGGGGGGAAAGTGTCCGGACTGGAAGGGGGGGGAAGTGTCCGGACTGGAAGGGGGGGGAAGTGTCCGGACTGGAAGGGGGGGAAAGTGTCCGGGACTAGAAGGGGGGGAAAGTGTCTGGACTGGAAGGGGGTGGAAGTGTCCGGACTGGAAGGGGGGGGAAAGTGTCCGGACTGGAAGGGGGGGTCTGGAAGGGGGGAAAGTGTCCGGACTGGAAGGGGGGGTGGAAGGGGGGGGAGTGTCCGGACTGGAAGGGGGGGAGTGTCCGGACTGGAAGGGGGGGGGGGAAGTGTCCGGACTAGAAGGGGTCCTGTCTTGAAGGGGTTAATTACACAGGTGCACTTCGGTTTTCATAATTTTCGGTTTACAAATGCAATTCCATTGACAATGACGTTTCGGTTTACCATTTTTTTCGCAATACGAAACGGATTAATTGGTTTTTGATGCATTTACACATTGTTTTTAGTCATCTCACTGGACAGTATTTATACCTTTAATGTGCACTTTATAAAGAGTTTTGAACAGATAAAAGACTTTTTTTTACTTTTTTCTGACCTCCGGAACGGATGAATTGGTTTTCAATGCATTTCTACGGAAACCGCGTTTCAGTTTATAAATTGTTTTTGGAATACGAAAAGTCGCGCAGAACGCATTAAATTCGTACACCGAGGTGCGCCTGTTAATTCGGTCTCGCTCTCTAAGTGTAGGAACGCAGATCTTCCATCCCCGCTGCTGATTCCTGAGCAGATGAAAGGGGCACCTCGATGATATTTCAGTGATGTGACAAGTTATTGGCTGTCTTTGCGGTTCCAGCGGTGAGGCCGCCGTGTCGCATGTCCTGCCCAGCCTGGAGTCTTCCATCCTAAAAACTAAACTAAAAATTCACAGTAAGAAAGGGGGACCTCCTAATAATGGCCACGGGGGGGAGGGGGGGGGTGAGCGGACCCTCCAACACATCATAATATAGAAGAATCCATTAAGTAGCTGAGCTTTGCAGACGGTAAGAGGATTTCAGGTCGGGGTATCTGGCAGTGTTCTGATACACAGAGTCGGGGGGAGGGGAGGCGCACTCACCTATTGGATT